AAAAAAAAAAAAAAAAAAAAAAAACCGAGTTTTTCAACCTCCTGGCCCTTCACCTTCCCTTCTCAAAATATTTATCGAGTGTCTGCCAGTCCCTGCTCTTATGTAACTTACAGTGTAAGGGGAGAGACACACAAATTTTTAAAAATCCCACTAATGAATGTATCATTCCAAATTAAGATACCTGCCCTAAAAGAGCATAGTTCTATGAAAGTCTGTATAAAACAAAGGAAACCGAAATAGAATGGGATGCTGGAGATTTCCTGGAGGAAATGATATCTGAGCTAAAATGTCAAGATGATTAGGGTAGGGGAGAAGGAGAAGAATGTTCCAGAGCAAAGAAGCAGCACATGAAAAGGCCCTGTGGTTAAAGGAACTAGAGAATTCCAAGAACTGGAAAGGGAGGCCCTTGTGGAACACAGAGGAGAGCAGTGGTGAAGTGGGAAATCTAGAGGGGTAGGTGGGAGCAGCCAGACCTTGAGGGTCCTCAGCTGCCATCTGAAGGATCTCAGTCTTCATCCTAGACATAGAGAAGGCTTTGGTCAGTTTTAAGCAGGAGGGAGAAAAGGGGGTGTAACATTGGATTTGGGTGTGGATTTTTGTTTATTTTTTAGAGACAGAATGTCCCTCTGTCGCCCAGGATTGAGTACAGTGGCATGATCATAGCTCACTGCAGCCTTAAACTCCTGAGCTCAAGCAATCCTCCTGCCTCAGCTTCCCAAGTAGATGGAACTACAGGCACATGCCACCACACCTGGCAAATATATCTTTATTTTGTTTATAGAGATGGGGTCTCACTGGGTTGCCCAGGCTGGTCTTGAACTCCTGGCCTCAAGTGACCTCCTGCCTCAGCCTGCCTCCCAAAGTGCTGGGATTATAGGCGTAAGCTACTGTGCCTGGCCCCTTGATTACTTCCTATCACATGCTTTTAGTTCCTTCAGCACTTTCCACAATTTGTAATTATTTTATTTAGTTTTTTAATATCAGTCTCCCCCTGTAGAATATAAGCGCTGGGAGAACAAGGACAATGTCTATCTTAGTGGTTCACAACTAGGGACAATTTTGCTGTCCATGAGATATTAAGCAATGTCTGGAAACATTTCTGATTGTCACATTGGGAAAAAGTGCGGACGGATGCTACTGATATCTAATAGGTAGAGGCCAGGATGCTGCTAAACATCCTACAACATAAGACGGCCCCCACAGCAAAGAATGATCTGGTCCAAGAGTTAAAGTGTTGAAGTTGAGAAAGCTTTATCTTGTTCACCATTGTATCCTCAGCACCAGGCACAATGCCTGATACCTGGTAGGTGTTCAATAAGTATTTAATGAATGAATTAATTAAAGAAGGCACAATGGCTCACTCTTATAATCCCATGACTTAGGGAGGCTGAGGAGGATCTCTTGAGGCCACGAGTTCGAGGCTGCTATAAGTTATGTTAGCACCACATTACTTCAGCCTTGGTGACAAAGCAAGACCTTGTCTATAAAATTTTAAAAAATGGCCAGGCATGGTGACTCACACCTCTAATCCCAGCCTAGGTGGGAGGATCACTTGAGCCCAAGAGTTCGAGACCATCCGAAGCAACATAGTGAGACCCCGTCTCTACAATAAACAGAAAAAAATAGCTGGTCATGGTGGCTTGTGCCTGTAGTCCCAGCTACTTGGGAGGCTGAGGTGGGAGGATTGCTTGAGCCTGGGAGGTCAAGGCTACAGTGAGCCATGACTGGGCCACTGTACTCCAGCCAGGGCAACTGAGTGAGACCTTATCTCAAAAAAAAAAAATTCATTTAAAAATGTAGAAAAGCGTTGTGCTGAATATAGATATCCCCCAAAACTATTCTGTATGCCACATTTATCCTGTTTTCTGGTATTCTTTCCTTCTTTAGGAAAATAAGCATTGGGTGTTATTGCAATGGCTACACAAACTAGTCATGTCTTCCATGGCCAAGAAAATATGTTTCTGGAAAACCATTGGTAAGCATAGTTCTCTGATTTTGCAAATGAAAACAGCAACAACATTTTGCTCATGGGAGCTGAGGGTGAGACTGGGTCATTGAATCTTCTTAGAGTCACCTGAGGGCTTTAGTTATCTAAATAATAAAATATCTCATGGAACTGGAGTCCACATTTTATCAGGACTCTGCAGGAACCCTTCTCAGTCACTGCACAGAAAAATGTTTCTAGAATCCTTGTAGGGACTAAGGTAAAGAGAGGAGGCACTGGGGATGTCAAACCAATCAATGCCCAGTGCACAGGCATTCATCAAATTACTTTATGTTTTGTAGCATTAGGAGAAACACTGGCAGAGATTCAAAGAAGTCACTAAAGCAGAAGAATGTGAATGGACTTGGTCAGAATTCAGACAATGGATTACTGGTTACACACGTTAACCAGACACAGGACTTACTGGTAAAGACCATGGCACTTTAACTGGGTCGTGATACTACAAATCATTCAGGGAATGCAGAATGTGCTAAATTCTGGGGATTTCTTCCTTCTCATAGGATTCTAGGACTGAAAAAGATTAATTAAGCATTTATCTCTAATCCTCTGCCTTTAGAAATGACTGAAGAATCTCTCTGTTTATATAGAAGTTGTATAGCCTATTTGGCCATGTCGCTAAATATTCAGGAGCATGTGAAGACTCTGATCATGCTATCAAGGCCTGAAGTCTTAAGCATTTGATTCTAAAATTCCCCTTCCTGAAATTTGCTTTGCTTTTGAGATTCCCTGAAATCTAGAATCAGAAATCCATTTCAGGAAGTGCTGTTGGACAAATGGGGCATAATAGGAGAATAAACCTCTAACCAGACTACGATTTTAGGCTGACCTTCAATGGGCCTTCCCAAGAGGATGAGTGGATTGTATAGAACTCAGAATTCATTCTAACAGGGAAACAATGGCAATCAGTGGTTGCCATGTTCAAGCAAGGCTAGTGCACAACCATGTATCTAACCCACACTAGAGTTTAAATATGATACCTTTGAAATGATAGTCAAAAACAATCCAGTTATAATGCTGGCAATTAAACAATCAGAAAAATACTCATGATTTACTTAGGTTCTGGCACTTACAGGAAAGCAAGTTTAATTACAGGAGATGAGGAAAGGTTGATAGAGTTTTGAGATTCTGAAGAAGTCTTGTAATGAGTTCAGATGTTGATGACATGCATCTTTCCTCTAATTTTATATCAAAATGCATGACTTCCCAGGTGTACACAGGATCATTCTTATATTTATCAGCCACAGCTGGGGCCTCCTTTGCCTTGCAGATGAACCTGAAGGAAAGAGGGAAAGGATTGCTCCAACACAAAGATCTTACCATTCTCTATGCAAATGAACTAGTTGAGTTACATAATCAGCATGGCCTAAAGTCAGAATCCATAATGTGTTTAATAGTGTGTCTTCAAGTATGAATAATACAAAATCTGTGTCCTAAAACGTGACATTATTTCAAAATCAACACAGATGGAAGAAAGGTGAATTATTAAGTCCACCATGCTCACCAGGCACGGTGGTTCACATCTGTAATCTCAGCACTTTGGGAGGCCTAGATGGGAGGATCGCTTGAGTCTAGAAGTTTGAGGCCAGCCTGGGCAACATGGTGAAACCCTGTTTCCACCAAAAAAAAAAAAAAAAAAATACACAAATTAGCAAGGTATGGTGGCACATGCCTATAGTCCCAGCTACTTAGGAGGCCAAGGAAAGAGGATCACTTGAGCCTGGGAGGCTGAGGCTGCAATGAGCTGAGATTTTGGCAGTGAGCTGAGATTGTGGCACTGCACTCTAGCCTGGGCAATAAAATGAGACCCTGTCTCAAAAGAAAAAAAAAAAAAGTCTACCATGCTCAGTGTTTCCAACCAGGGAGAGGGTTGAGTCTGAAAGGTGAAAAGAGTGACATCTAGTGTCCATGTGATAGAGAGCTGTGTTTCCCTAGATATGCGACAGAGACCTATGATTTTAGGTGGTGCCTTTCAAGGGCAGGACATTTGTTAGTATAGAATCACACAATGAGAAAGTAATCTGGCCCCTCAGTCCTCTCACTCCTTCATGGAGATGGTCACAGTTTGGTGCTAGTTTAGAGGGACAACATAGTACCATGGTTAGAAGCATGACTTGAGCTTCACAGCCTGGGTTTGAATTCCACATCTGCCACTTTCTAGCTGCATGACCTTGGACTGATTACCTAAATTATCTGTACCTCAGTTCCCTGGTCAGCAAGATGGGGTTATCATAATGGAACCTACTTTGTAAAATTAAATGAGTTAATGTATGGAAAGTGCTTAACATGTAATAAGTGCTATCTAAGTATTTGCAGTAATTATAAGAGTGTTTTTCACACTTCTTCAACACTTGCTAATTTCCCTTTGAGACAGAGGGCAGAGCAGACCTCAGGCACAGAACTTAAGGCAAGGTCACTTGAGCCCAGAACTTTGAAGCTGCAGTGAGCTATGATCACACCACTGCACTCCAGCCTAGGTGACAGAGCGAGGCCCTGTCTCTAAAACAGACAAACCAGGGGGCCAGGTATGGTAGCTCATGCCTGTAATCCCAGCACTTTGGGAGGCCAAGGCTGGTGGATCACTTGAGGTCAGGAGTTTGAGACCAGCCTGGCCAAAATGCCAAAACCCGTCTCTACTAAAAAGACAAAAATTAGCCGAGCGTGGTGGCACATGCCTGTAATCCCAGCTACTCGGGAGGCTGAGGCAGGAGAATCACTTGAACCCGAGAGGCAGAGAGGTTGCAGTGAGCCAAGATCATACCACTGCACTCCAGCCTTGGTGACAAGAGTAAAACTCCGTCTCAAAAAAAAA